GGCTCTGGCCATGTAGAAACGTCTCATTTATACCTCTGGCTACAGCCAGCTGCACACAAAAAGTTAGGAGTCCTGAAGCCTGTCCTGCCGAGGAGAAAGGGTGTGGCCCTCCGTCCTCCCAGTGCCCGCACGCCCACGGCCTCAGGCATAGAAGATGAGCTCGGGGATCTGCCCGCCCTGCACCCCGGTGCCGGTGCCGGTGCCGTTGGTGCTGTCGGAGGAGCACTGGAACTGGAAGGTCACCTTCCCGCACTGCACCTCTGTCAGGCCCTCCTGCCCGAAGTAGCTGAGCTCGCTGCCGTCCAGCACGGCGCTGGCCGTGTAGAAGGTGTCCTGCTCCACCTGCACTGGGTGCTAGAACCAGACTGGGAAGGTGCTGCTGGAGCCGTCGGATACGAACCTGGTCAGGTTCTGGGTGAGGACCACCCCCAGGCGCTTGAGCTCGATCTTCACACTGTACTTGGCTTTCCCGGAGCTGGACCCATATAGGCCCTGTCCACTGCAATCTGGATGCTGTTGCAGCGCCTTCGGTAGCGCCACTGGTTGCTGCAGTAGGCCGAGGACTGGAAGCGGTGGCACCTCTGTGGGGCCAGGCCTCCCCTCTTGGTCAGCGGGAAGTCGAGCGGGGGCTTGTTGGCCGCCGTGTACCACAGGATAATGTTGTGGGTCTCCTCCAGCGTCAGGATGTCCGACTGGGCAGCGCCGTTGGCAAACTCCTCCAGGGTCATGGTCAGAATGCGGACCAGGTAGAGGGCCGGCCCCTGGCTCTTGCCTGCTGCCTGGGTTTCCGATCACCGTCAGTGGCAGGCGGCTTCTTCTGTCCTTCCCCTTTCGCCTCCCAGCATTGTGCCTATGTATGCAAATTAATCGCCATCTTTGTTGGCAGTTAATTTGCATATCGCCCTAATTAGCCAATGGGAAGCGTAGCGAAGGTATGGTCAATTACCATGTTTGTCTATTATTAGATAGGATATGTATTGAGGTTTACATTTTTCAGTTTCTTGCCTTTTCATATATAATTTTATCATGTATGCAAACAATATGTTCATTTTGCTTGTGTTTAATTTTTCTAAAAAGGTATTCAGTATATAGTGTTCTGGCTTGCTTTTTTTAACTTACTACGTTTCTAAGGTTAAGTAAGGTTAACCATTCCTATATGTTTTTTGTCCATCTGTGATTTTACTTTGGGAATTATCTCTTCGTATACATTGTACATTTTATAGGGATATTCTTTTTTACTGGTGCAGGTAAGTTTCAAGATTCCTTGTTACTCTAAATTCTATGATTTTAAGATTATTTCTCTTATAAAATTAAAGTATCATTTGGAAGTTTAAGTGTTAATTGATTGATAATTCAGATAAATTGATTTTACAATTCAATTTTCTGAACCTATTTGTTTTTATCTTCCCTCTATGAAATAGTAATTGTTGTTTGTTGGACATAAAACCCACCCCAACTTACAAATATTGCTCCATTTTTACCTGCCTATGTATGGCAATGTTACTCCATGAAAGTTTATGAAAATGATGAAATGAAGATATTCACATTATACCCTTAGTGGTCTTTATAATAGAAAATATTTAACAATTCTATTCATGGCTTTTCAATTGGATAATTAAAGTTTTTTGAGGAGGTCAGTTTTCATCTTTTTTTTAAAAAAATATTTTTTTATTGATTTCAGAGAGGAAGTGGAGAGGGAGAGAGAAAAAGAAACATTAATGATGAGAGAGTGTAATTGATTGGCTGCCTCCTGCATGCCCCCCACTGGGGATTGAGCCCACAACCTGGGCATGTGCCCTTGACCAGAATCAAATCCTGAACCCTTCAGTGCATAGGCTGATGCTCTACCAGTGGTTCTCAACCTTCCTAATGCCGTGACCCTTTAATACAGTTCCTCATGTTGTGGTGACCCCCAACCATAAAATTATTTTCATTGCTACTTCATAACTGTAATTTTGCTACTGTTATGAATCATAATGTAAATATCTGATATGCAGGATGTATTTTCATTGTTCGCGACCCACAGGTTGAGAACTGCTGCTTATCCACTGAGCTAAACCAGCTAGGGCCACTTTTCATCTTTAAAAGTTTGTTCTTAAAAAAAAAAAAAAGTTTGTTCTTTCCATGGGACTGTAGTCCTTCAGTCTTGGAATTATACATTAGGATTTCAGAAAGGCTTTGGATGCCTGAGAGAGATGTTGGGTTTTTGTTATATTCATATAGATAGCTTATATCTGTGTGAAAAGTGAAGTGAAAGCAATATTGCCCAGAGCAATAGTTTTCAAACTTTCTTTAGCTGAGCTCACTCAGGCACTTTGAAAGACCCCATTTGCAGTTGTAGATGGAAAAAAAATTGACTTAATTGTACCAAAAAAATTAGAGAAGAACAAAATAAAATATGTTGACACATTCATTGCATTTTATTTTCAATAATATCTACAATGTAGGGAAATGGTAAGCTTTTTATAAGAACCCAGAGGGGACTTACAATTTTGGTTCAGTTGACCAGCCTTAAAATGTGGGTATTTTAAAGGCCATCTTGTTTTGAAGCATATTTATTGACATTGTCAATAAGCTAAAATATAAAGTATACTCAGAAATGATCAGAGCATATCTGTGGACTACTCTCATTGAAAGTGAAGCTTTCATAACAGAAAAAAAAAAAGAATATTGTGGTTATTTTAAGAGGAAGAAATAGCCAAAACCGGTTTGGCTCAGTGGATAGAGTGTCGGCCTGCGGACTGAAAGGTCCCAGGTTCGATTCCGGTCAAGGGCATGTACCTGGGTTGCGGGCACATCCCCAGTAGGAGATGTGTAGGAGGCAGCTGATTGATGTTTTTCTCTCATCGATGTTTCTAACTCTCTATCTCTCTCCCTTTCTCCCTGTAAAAAATCAATAAAAAATATATTTTTTTTAAAAAAGAGGACGAAATAAAAATTGTGGGACTGGAGGAATGGTTCTTTTAAAATGTACAATAGAGATTTAAGATTCAAAAGTACTACTAATATTTCTTACTAATATGAGTGTTCAACTTTATCTGAAATTCTTCAGTGATGTGAATTGCATTATTTCCCATGGCAGCCATTCCATATTCAGACACTATCATCCTTTTCAAGTTTTTCCTTATATTGAGCCAAAATTGATTGTACTACACAGGGCAAATCTAATGTTCTTCTATATGAATATTCTTCAAATGTTTGAAGAAAATGGATTTTATGTCTATGTTATCTCGTACCTGGTTTGAGCTTGCACAGTCTCTTCTGGTGTGTGTGTGTGTGTGTGTGTGTGTGTGTGTGTGTGTGTGTGTGTGTTTCTATTCGATGTGGTTTTAGGGCCACTCAGCTGCCTTGATATGAGGTTGATGACACAGCTCATATTGATCTTAACACTTCCTATTCTTTCTCCAGTTGCTTTGTTCTTTGCCAGATTAAACCTGGCAAAGTAGTTTCTAACTTTTCACAAGTGAATTGGTAAAATTGAAACCTATAATTAAGCACGCATTTGAAAAAATACATATAAAGACTTTTAAATGACGTTTCCTCTATATTATAGATTTCCAACAAGAGATTTCTTTTAAATTTTAGATAATAAGAATTACATCTCTTGGGATTGACTATAATCTTACTCAATAATGCGCTATCGTCAGTTTAGACCAGACCAAACCAGGAGAGAGGGGCTTGCAAACTAAAACTAAAAGGATTACAAAAGAGAGAACTGCCCAGCCAGCATGGCTCAGTAGTTGAGGATCGACCTATGAATCAGGAGGTCACAGTTTGATTCCTGGTCGGGGCACATGCCCAGGTTGTGGGCTCAGTCCCCGGTGGAGGACGTGAGGGAGGCAGCCGATCGATGAGTCTCTCTCATCATTGGTGTTTCTATCTCTCTCTCCTTCTCCCTTCCTCTCTGAAATCAATAAAAATATATTTTTAAAAAGAGAGAGAGAATTATATCCCTTGGAAGTTGGCTTCAAACAAAACAACCTTGGCAAATAAGTATGCTTTAACTTCGTGATGTAGTATTGTTTTCTCAACATGTTAAACAAATGCATTTTTATTTTTGTGTTTTCAGATAGCGGCCAGAACTGTAGTGCCAATAGTAAAGGTGAACAGCTAAGTGCCAAACTCAGAGCTTTACCCGGGACAAACGAGCCTTATGAAAGTAGCAGTCACAAAGAAATAGGCAAGTGACCATGTTCCCCACCCAGCCCCACAGGTTCAACAGGTCTGAAAGCTGGTGAAATGGCAAAAAATGTATAATTGGGCATTAAGAATTTCATATATACAGAGAATTGAAATGACTTGGGAGAGCATTTCTATTCACTCTGCATTGTTCTCACAGTTTTGATTATGAGACTAACTGGCTTCATGTTTGTTTGTTTGCCATATATATATATAAATTTCTAATGTAACTATCTGTTTTGAACCTAGATGCCTCATATGTGGATCCACTTGGCCCTCAAGTAGAAAGACCAAAGACTGCGGCCAAGAAAAGACTGGAGGAGGATGATTTTGCTGATGAAGAGTTAGGAGATGATTTGCTTCCGGAATAATATGTACATTATGTTATTTATTAAAGGAAAGAAATTACCTTGCAAGATAATACCCATGTTAAACCTTGGATTAGATATACAAACTTTAATTTTGTACACTTCCAAAGTTTTTAATAAGTGTATTGTGTTCTGTGAGTATGGGTTTAAGTCTTGTTTTGTTTTTAATGGAAAAAAACATGTGAAAGTAATCCATTAAGCTATGACTTCCTTACCCTTTTGAAAACATTGACCTCCACCCCACCCCCCCGAGTAAGTAATGAATTTTGTTGGACAACCAGTTATCACTCACACACACACACAGACACACACACGTGCATAAAAATTATCTTTAATACTGCAGTGTATGCTATTTTCTATAATTTCATTTTTAAAGTGTTATAATGAAAACTGCATTGATTTCTTGGATTGCAGCTTGAAAAATACTATGCTAGAACATATCATTGCTGGATATTTAGTCAAGCTAAATTGCTTCGAGTTTGGAAACTATACTTCTTTGTAAGTTTGCCTGAGGAGGGATTATATTACTACTAGAGGCCCAGTGCACAAAATTCGTGCACAGGCCGGGAGGGTCGGGGGAGGTTCCTTCAGCCCATCCTGTGCCCTCACACAATCTGGGATCCCTCGGGGGATGTCCGACTGCCGGTTTAAAGGCCTACACTGGCAGTTGGACATCCCTCTCACAACCCAGGATGCTGCATGCACCAGTGACCATACTTTTCATACAGGTGAAAGGCATCTTGCTGTTGTGTGGGCAGCTACATTTTTTTGCCCTGATTATAAAAGTAGTACATAACATGATCCTTCTGAGGCAGTAGTACCATTTTCCCCATCTTATGGGAGGAAAAACTGAAGCAGAGAGAAGTTAAGTAATTGGCTTTGTCACACAGTTATAAGTGTCAGAATCAGGGCTGACCACAAAATGCAAGCCAGAATCCATGCATGTCATTGCTGCATCATCGTGTTTTTTCAGTGTTAGAGTAGTCTTGCCAGGTTTTAATTTTTAAATCTAAGAGACTGTTCCCAGTATATAGGGTAGGGTCCCTAGGCCTGGCCAGCAATCAAGGCCGATTTGGGGGGCAATCAGGGCGGCCCCCACTGGCACCCACCTTGGCTGGCAGCCTGGCACTGCCCACTCACTGCCCCCACTCCCCGCCACTGCCGCCACCAGTTGCCTCCCTCTGCCCACTGGCACCCGCCTTGGCTGGCCTGGCACCGCCCACTCTCCGACCCCACCCCCCGCCTACTGGTCATTCCGCAGGTCGTTCCACCATTTGGTCAATTTGCATATTAGGGTTTTAAGAATAAAACAATATGGGAGATCAAAGATGGCTGCAGAGGAGGTAGAAACTATACACACCTCCTCCATGTGCCAATCTGGATTTACAGCCAAAAATATAGAGCAATCAACCTGAAAAAACAACTGAAAAACACCTGAACAGGAGTATTATATCCAAGGATTGCTAGAAGAAGCTACACAGAGACTGGTAAGAAGGGCAGAGACACGAAGAGAGCTGGTCCCTGCACCCAGGTGTAGTGGCTGAGAAGCCAGAGGGCTATTGTGGCTGCAAAAGTTTCCCCCCAGGCCCGGTTGGTGTGGTTCAGAGGTTGAGCGTCAACCTATGAGCCAGAAGGTCACAATTCATTCCAGGCCAGGGCACATGCCCAGGCTGTAGGCTCAATCCCCAGTGTGGGACGTGCAGGAGGCAGATGATCAATGATTTTCTCTCATCGATGTTTCTCTCTCCCTTCATCTCTGAAGTCAATAAAAATATTTTTAAGTCCTCTCTGAGGAGAATGGGGTCTCAACCTCATGCCAGAACCCCCAAATCAGAGCACCAGGGCTGGGAAGAAGAGCCTACATAGCATCTGGCAGCAAAAATAAGCAGGGACTTTGCTGGGAAGAGAAGAAAGCCTGCTAGCATCCCAGGTGCTCTCCTAAGGGGCATTTCACAGGAGCTTGCTCTTGGGCACTTACCCAGGGCTCTCATAGAGGGAAGAAGACTCAAAAGCTATAAAGAGAAGATCTGGGTAGCATAGCTCCAGAGATCTGGAGGGCTGGTACTGAGGTCCCAGTCCTGAGTCAACATCACCCACTGCCCACAGGCACCATCTCCCAGGGTCAGGCACTTCTATTCTTACAGCACCAGCTGGGGAAAGGGCACTAACCCCATCCTCCAAATACTGGTGACACCTCCCTTCAAAGCTCAAGTCCTGCATAAAGGACTGTTGGCTGCATCCAACAGAGACCTGGAGAAACTACTAGTATAGAAAGGCTTTCAGATAGTCATTGAACTGATGGCTTTGGAACCAGGGCCAATCTTTGCCCTATCCCACAGGTTAGGGAGACTCCCTTGTCAGGGTCTGTGGCAGCAGGCAGCTGTAGAGCTAGGGTAAGGCTTGTACTTGCTCCCCTCCCATGGGCCTGTGCCACTCCCAACAGAGGGCTGCCTTGACTTGCATTGCCAAATCCTGCTAGCTCAGTTCTTCGGGGGAAAGGGAGCACAACTCAGAACTGGGACATTTGGTGCAACGCCCCCTCAGAGCCTTCCATTAGGTCTCTGGAAGTGCACTGCAGAGCTAGGCAGAGGTGAGCAGATGGCTCCCCTCCCAAGAACCAACGCCATTCCCAGTGGAGGGCTGCCTTGATTTGTTCTTCCAAGGCCTGCTGGCACTGCCCTCCTGGGTGCAGCTTTACAAGGGAAAGGGGGCACAACTCAGAACTGGGTCATTTGAGGTGTCCCCCTCAGATCCTCCCATCAGGGTCTCTGGTGGTACACTGTCAAGCTAGGGGAAGGTGAGCAGCTTGCTTCCCTCCCAAGGGTTGAGGGCTGCCTTGATCTGGTCCTCCAAGTCCTGCAGGGGGGAAGGGGAGGGAGCACATCTGAGAGCCCAGGGCTTCAGATTGCAGCTACAGCATCAGAGTTTCTGAAGGCATGCCCGCAGAGCTATGGGGAGGAGGCATGCAGTTTTTTATGGGCCAGTGCCATCACCAATGGAAGACTGACTTTATCTGTTTTCAAACCCCCAGCTGGCCACATCCTGCTGGATTGTTTCAAGGGAGGAAGGAGGCTCCACTCAGAGCCGGACATTCAGAGTGCATCTATCTCAGAGGCTTCAGTCCAGGACTTGAGCAGGTGTGGCTACAGAACTGAAAGAAAGAGTGAAGCTCACCCCCCTCCCATCCCACCCCAGTGGTGCCACTCCTAAAAGAAGGCTTTCTCCATCTATTTGCCCAAATTCCAGTGACCCTGTCCTGTCTTACTGAGCTTGATCCTGCAGTGAGGACAGCTGGCTATACCCAACCTGAGCCTGCCGTATGCTCCTCCTGGGGGGCTAGATTTGGAGACTGTAGCAGAGACCAAATGGTATAGCTCTGGAATAGGGGCCATATTCTTCCCATTGTGTGCCAAACCATGCTGCATTGAACTAGGGGGCCGACTAGCCCTGTCTGCTCAATCTGGTCACTATGACACACTGAGCTTGAGCCCTGTGGAAGGGCCAGTGGGGCATGGCCATCATGGGTCCACTCTACAGCCTTTCTTCATAAAACTCTGGAGGAAGTCCAGGCAACTATTCAGGGGGGTGGGGGGGCAGAGCAGCCAACAGGTAAAGGCCAACCTCAGGAAACCTTGGACTTTTGTTGAATTGATCCCAGCTCAGAGCTCTAGGAAGCCAAGTCATCTACACAGATTGGCCCCTCCCACACACACCCAAGTCAAGTAGACACAGGCACACACAGTGAACAGCTTGGTAACTCTAGATAGGTAGACCAAAATTGGTTACACATAATGTCTGGCAGCAACCTGCACCTGACCCACACTCAAGTGGACCAAAAACCAACACAAGCAGTGGTGGGCTTCAGACCAAACCAGAGCTTGACCCAACCAGCCACACAAATTATATACCCAAAGGAAGATTCCAGCAAGAACCAGACCCTGATGAGAATAACCTAACCTTGGGAAGCAGCCCCTGCATAGCATCTCATACAACATGACAGAGGTTTACTCCTATAATCATCCAATCTGAAAGGTTAACTGCATCCACAATAGGGCCAACAGCATTCATCAAGATGGAACTACAATATGAGATATACATAATCCACAAGAAACATTCTTGGAATATGAGGCTCAAGTGATCTGGAAGATTTTGCCACTGAGCCCAACAAGACACCTTGAGATTTCACCTGCACAGCAGCTTGCATGCCATGATAAGGGTTGAGCCTTACAGTCAGACAGCCTGATGGTTGAAACCACCCACAAATTGGCCAACAGCAATTAAGACCCAATTACCAACATGAAGGCCCAAACAACCCACACAAGAGACATTCCTAGAGCACCCAGCTCAGGAGATGGAGGCTGCAACACTGGGTCCCACAGGACACCTGAAGCAGAAGGCCACAATACCAAGACTGGGAATCATAGCAGTTCTATCTAATCCATAGAAACAGACACAAAAAGACAGCCAAAATAGGGAGACAAAAAAAAAAATAGGTCCCAACGGAAAGAATGCTAGTAATCTCTAGAAAAAGAGCTAAATGAGATAGAGGCAGGCAATTTATCAGAAACAGAGTTCAAAGTAATGGTTATTAGGATGCTCAACAGCATGAAAAATGACATCGAAACCATGAAAAATAACCAGTCGGAAATGAAGATACCATATCTGAAATAAAGAATATATTGGAAGGAATAAACAGCCAGTGGATTGAATCAGCAATTTGGAAGACAAAGTAGGAAAAACACACACACACACACACACACAATCAAAGCAGCAAAAAGAATGAAAAAGAATGATGGTGGCTTAAGGGAACTTTGAGACAACATGAAATGTAACATACACATCATAGGGATACCAGAAGGAGGAGAAAGTGAGCTAGGGCTACAGAACCTGTTTAAAGAAATAATGACAGAAAACTTCCCTAACCTGGTGAAAAAAAACTCACACAAGTTCAGGAAAACAGAGAGTCCAATCAAGATAAACACAAAGAGACCAATACCAAGACACAGCATAATTAAAATGGCAAATGTTAAAGACAGTGAATTTCAAGGCAGCAATAGAGGGATAGTAAGTTACCTACAACGGAGTTCCCATAAGACTGTCAGCTGATTTTTCAACAGAAACACTACAGGCTGGAAGGGATTGGCAAGAAGTATTCAAAGTAATAAAAAGCTGCAACCAAGCAGCTCTATCCAGCAAGCCTATCATTTAAAATCAAAGATAAAATAAGTTTCCCAGCCAAAAGACTAAAGGAGTTCATTACCACCAAACCAGCATTTCAAGAAATGCTAAAGGAACTGCTTTATGAAGAAAAATAAATATATAGAAAGAGGATAATAGGCATAAAGAAAAAAATGGCAATAAGTAAGTACCTATTAATAATGACCTTAAATGCAAATTGATTAAATGCTACAATCAAAAGACATAGAGTACTGAATAGATA